ATATCGTGATATCAATTTTGGCCATATCGTCCAGCCCTAGTTTCTTGTGTTCGGAACAACAGCAAGAGAAGCGTATGATGCCTATTTTTAAAAATTCTGTTCTGATTCTAATTTGTTTAGTGTATTCTAGCATTATTTTTTTTTTTTTTGTATTTTAAATTGCAGTATTCTGGCCAAGAAAATATTCTTTAGCCTTTATCATTATATAAATAAATAAAGAATTAAATAACCCTCACAGCAAAGGTTAATAAGTTGCCATTCGATTTCTAAAGCAGCTGAAGAATGTTCAGCTGTTCACATGTCAGTGTGGAATGGCTCCAGATGTTCACACCTGTGTGTGAAGTGAATTCTTCTACTCTTTGTCCTAAATTAGCTTTTTAACACCACTATGAACATAATTTTTGGTGTGAAACGGAGCCAGATGTGTCTGCATTAACCGGGAATTTATTATCCTCTTCTTAGACTCTTCTGAAATAAACCAACAACTTGACCTTGCATTCCCAGAAATCCAGTCAGTTTGGCACTCAAAATCGGCAAACCACTCTGAGAATCAGCTCTCGATTCTGCTGACAACGTCTTTAGTTATTATGTGACATAACTACAGTAAACATGGCACATAATAGTCTTTATTTACAAGTGTAAAGAGTTTTGAGAATATTTTTGAGTCATTTTCCAGTGTTTCCTCTGTCAGCAGCTTCGTTGATTATAATGAGAGCAATTTAGTTTTGTTTCACATTAGAATAAGCTGTTTTTGAGAATATTTTGTCTCCTGACCTCTGATATTAGCAGATCCCAGGCCAAGGACAGGTTTTGTGGTGACAATTTTTCTGGCCCAGAACTATTAGAAAAAAGAGCTAGGGACATTCGCTGTAACCTGGGTGTGACTATTCTTCTTTCACTGGTTCAGTCATTCTGGACACAAGCATAACCTTGTCCCCTCCACCCTCAAATACAGCTGAAATCACACACACAACCCCCTCCCTGCTGACAGTATGGGACAGATGCAGTGGATTGGGGTGGATGTAGCTTTGGATTGGTGGGGGTTGTGTTCATAGTCAGCAGGGGGCTGATGGCAGCACTCTCTTTGTGCCGGTTTGCTCAGAAGAGTTAGGAATTTCCACAGGGGCCACCATGTGCTCCGCTGTTGGCCATTGCTGGGGAGAGTTGTGTCTTTTAACTCATAAAATGTCTGCCTGGTTTTAGGTACCTCCCTTGAGTGAGTTTTTGTTCCACGCAGACTTAGTGGTGTCATTTTATTTATTTTTTTATTTGCGTCAATACAAAATTGTTTTAATTAAAATATTGAAAGTTGTAGTATAAACTCTTTAAATCCTTTTTTGCTATTACCTGGAAGTTCCCATTGTTTCCTTTGAAAGAACACTCTTGCTGTACTCTTGTTCCTTTCTGATCCAGCCACACTTCAAAAATGTATTCACATTTTTGCTTTTGCTTGCTAAGTCCAAGTTCATGTGGAAGGACTTTGACATTTGGAGATTTATTTAATTATCTTTTTCTTCTTTTAGAAAATGGATATCAGTGGAGTTAAAGTTCTGGAGTCAGCCGAGGACATCCAGGAGCGTCGACAGCAGGTTCTGGATCGGTACCATCGTTTCAAGGAGCTGTCCTCTGTACGCAGACAGAAACTCGAAGACTCTTACCGGTTCCAGTTCTTCCGTCGAGACGCAGATGAGCTTGAGAAATGGATCCAAGAGAAGCTACAGATCGCCTCTGATGAGAACTACAAGGACCCCAGTAACCTACAAGTGAGAGAAAAACTAAGTTTCCTAAATGCCCTTTCTAAAAATCTCTCAGGGAAAAATGTGTTGTCACCTCTGTTCTTGAAGTGACTCTTCCCTTAAGCTGTAAATTGGGTCCTTGACTGGGTCTGTCTGCTGTAATCAGCAGTGAATTACTTTATAAAGTCATCAGATTATAATAGCTTGAAAACAGTAAATGAACACATGCATGCAGTGACTTTGGTCACAAAGTTTGTGTTGTGACTTATGCAGACGTTTATAGAGATAATTATGCAATTGGTTGAAATCAGGCCTTACAAAGTGGCAAACTTCTCTGAAGAAATGCATTTTCACAATATACAATGTTTAAAAACAAAAATCTGAATATGATGCATCTTTACCATTATATTTGTCTCATACAGCATTTTCCCCCTTCTCTTAGGGAAAGCTCCAGAAACATCAAGCCTTTGAGGCAGAGGTGCAGGCTAATGCTGGGGCCATCATTAAACTGGACGAAACCGGCAATCTCATGATATCTGAGAGCCACTTTGCATCTGAAACCATTCGAGTAAGGCTCTTTCTTTTTAATTCCACATGCTAGAGTTCCATAATGGAGAAAAGTGGTATAGTGTTTTAACTTTATCTTATATGGATCAGTCTTTCACGCCTTACCGGACCACTCAGCGACCAATAGTAAAAAGTGTCAATTATGGCGCTTTTATTCCAGTAGGTACTTGAGTGCGGTGAAATAGGTTTTATTTTCATTTGTTCTACTTCCTTTTACAGCGCATGTCCCTTGAAGGAACTGAGTGCTGTGTTCTTTTTCAGTCTACCTTATTCAGTCTTTCTATTGGAATCCAAGCTGACTTTCTTTTTCCGAAAAATATATTTCTAGACTTAAACTGAGATGTCCTTAAACTTCTTTGTTTTTGTTTCTAATCGGAGTTTGTTTTGATCCTAATTGTCTGTCTTTGTCCCCTCTTAAAATTCAGACCCGTCTAGAGGAACTTCACCGTCTGTGGGACCTGCTGCTGC